CTTTCATTCCTACAAAAACGTTCGAAATCGCTAAAAATCGTTAGTAACAGCGCTTTAATCGTCGAAAGCAGCATATTTGTAAAGAATGACCAGAAGTTGACAGGTTTTAGGGTCATCAAAATGATCTTGTTTCAATATTTTCTTGAAGCCTCTCTATGGTTCGCCAGCCACCTGAACTCTTCATTCCTCACTCCTCATCTGAACACTCGTCAAGGTGTGAGCTGATCACGTTTCAAGCTAAAGAAAACTTACCAAAGTTTTCCAATTCTTTGTTTTTCCTTTTACTTGTAATTAAAAGTTTGGTTGTAAGTTAGCGTATAAAAATCATGATTTTGTGTAATATTTTTGTAGAAACACTTTTCTTACCGATTCGTTTTATTATAATTAACCATTCATTCATCGCTGAAAAGGAAACTAATTATGGCAACTTAGCTTTGCAAACGTTATCTGGTCGAGGTATAGAGTATCACTAAAAATTTGAAATCCTTTATCCATAAGATGTCGATAGGAAGTACTGTTTAAAAATTTTTATTTTTCTGTTACATGTAAAAGGATATTATTTCATACCATTCATGTAATTCTAATTATTTAATTTCTCATAACGATGATCAAACATTCAAATTAATATTCACTAAGCATTGGGTGTAAAACGATAACACAATTTTGCTTTAATTATGGTAAGTGAGATACAATTTCATTTTTTAATTGGTGCCGTTTTATTACATTACTTTAATTTGACATTATCACCCTCCTTGCTGTTTATTCTTGTTTAATAACTAATCGGTATTAAGCAATGATGTTTTTCATAGCCTCTTTTAATATTAATAGCGAAAAAACTCTAACGTGTAGAGTTAAGTTTTAACTTTTTGCACTCGGCCTATTTCCAGAGGGGCCCTGCTTGCTTCGTACGTTTTATTAAATGTACATATTGTAGAAGTGCATTTTTCTGAACAAGTTATTCATTTATATCTGAATCAGGAATCATCCTTTTAAACAGAAATATATCGGAATTTTTTCAACCTAGCTTTACAAATATTCATGAAATTATCAGTTTTGAGCTGTCGTGTGCGCCCTCTGTAAATACATCAGGACCTTTCGAAAACAGTCGGCCTCCATTAAATTGAATACCCTATTCTTATTATCTAAATAGGAGTATCTACATTTCTAGGCAGACAAACGAACGAGCAGTTCTGAATCAAGTAATTTAGCAATAACCGCACAAACTAATCCTTTCCTATTTTAGTACACGCATTTTATTTCAAATACTCGAGTTATCACTGAAATCGGAAATTCTTTATTTTCACGATATTGATGGGGAGTATTGTTTCATATTTTTGTTTAACTGTAATGAGTAAGCAATTATTTCACGTCATTCATAAAATTCGTATTATTTCGTATCTCATAACGTTATGTATACACTCAAGTTATTACCAATCACTAAACAGTGGACGTAATAAGTAAACGCAATTTTGCTTTAATCACAGTGTATGTTTATCGAAGCGTTCATTTCATTTGAATTGGACTGTTTTCATTATTTAATTCATAATACTCGTATTTAATAAGAAATTTCCTAATTTCCAAGGGTAAATTTTTTACCTGAGTGTGACAACTGTCAAACCCTAAGAGTCCCATCCACTTTGAAGTGTTTTGACGTCGTTTGTGTTAAAGTGTGAGTTTTAAGCGTTGTTTTAAGACCAAAGTAACTTCTAGCCTGCCTAGTTTGAGTTAGTCTTATTGGTTTTACTAATCAACCTAGAGTTATTTTAAACGTCTTGTAATAAACACAAATCTTTAGAATTTTTTGGTTCCCTTCTTTGAAAACAAGAAGATGCGACTGATGCCTCTTACATGTTTGACCATTTGCAAATTAAAAATTAATCAATTTTTTGCTCATGTACAGATGTCAATTTTACATTGGATTATTCAAAAATCTGAACCACTTAAAACGGGATAGACCATTGCATTCGTTCAGTTCTTCGCGGAGAGCTAACCTATAACGAAGAGTTGCTGCAAAGTCAGTAGCGGAGAAAACTGAACAACGAAGGCCTAAGGGAGTGAGTAACGCTTGTAAGTTTTTTGCTTTTCGTGTTTGATGCAAGATGCTATTATCGGAGACACATCGGAAAACCCTTTTTTCGTATGGAAATGTTTATTCCTTTCAATCCCCGTACGCCGTACATGAGCATTCTAACTCACAAATCTGAATGTTGGAACAGGGATCTTTTCAAGGCCGGATTCTTACAAATTTGTCACCGAAGAGATAGATCTTATAGAGTCTAGCTAATCCAGTTCTCAAGCAGCTTCTAACATTTTCAAAATCCTTGATAATTTGCAGAAATAAAGAGCAAGCACTGCGAGTAAACTGTCTCGCTTGGAAACTCAACAAAGTGACCCTCAACGAGGACGCGACCCAAAACCGCCCAACCCAAAATTGCTTCATAAATACATATGAATATCAGAATATTTCACTCAGAACTTATTGCGTGCTCATTTCATTAATATGCCCTTATGAATTCTTTGATTGTTTGTTCCTTTTTCAAAGGAAAATGAAGAGCCTTGTCTTGTTGTCACTTCCACTAGAGACCGATCAGGACACCGAAGTCGCGCTGAACGAGGACGAGAAGATTGGTAAGTGCTTCAGTTTTTATCAGTTTTATTAGATTCTCTTCTCTCTTGTTTTTTAGAAAAACCTGTTTTCGATCCCGATGTACCGACTGATTATCCGGGCGGTCAAATATATACGATCGGTCGGCTCAAAAACAGAAATAGTGATCGCTAAAGTAATTCCTAGTTTTGTTCTTGGATATAGTCCAGTGAATGCCCAAAAAGAGAAAGTGATTACCAAAACGTCTAAATTTGATAACTGTACTGTCTCTTTTTTTTTTCTTACTAATTTATGACTCAGTTACAGCTTTGTTTGTTTGTTTGTTATTTTTTTTTCGATAAAACTTTATTTGAATATTGCTACTTTTCAGATACTGCTGATAAGATTGAAATCGGTGAAAGAGGCTATTATCATGGTAAGTCCATCATAATCTGTCGATGATTGCAAAAGTTTTTTTTTCTTTTTACTTTTTCAAGGTATTACAAAATATCATGTTGTCCTATGTTACGGTGAGTTGTTGGTGGACTGACTCCCCATCAATAATAATTCTGCATGCGCTAGTTTATGCCTAGCTTCGATAAGCGCTTCAATAATTTGGGCTCGTAAAGTGATACGCAAAGCTTTAGGAACTTGTGGCCTGTTTTAAATAGAACAGAATGACAAATCGTTACTAAATTTCATTTGAGTACACTCATTTTGCAGGTGCGTTTCTAGGTGCGAACGTTTTTAATCAAGCGTAAGGCATTCCCATTTCCTTTAACCGTACTGAAATTTCCATTATAAACAGAAAGCAAAGTCTGTCCCGTTTCCCTTTTTCAAATGAAGAGGCTGTTAAGTGAGTTTCCCTCCCTCTCAAATTTCGCTACTGACAGGAAGCTAGAGAAAAGCAACTGGCGCGAGAGCGTGCCTTATTCAAAATTAAGTTTAGATAACAATCAATGCGAGACCTCCATAGTTCTCTATGTAGCCCAAGTAATGTTAGTGGCCGTTAACGAAGCCCCAACCATGAAACAAGGGTGTTCAATTACCCGGAGGAAAATTCTGCTATAACGACGACTATCCTAAACAATCCTGAAACTGACCAGTTGAAAATTATATAATGCGGGGTGAAAATTGAGCTCCTTTGTTTAAGCTTCTTGTTGCTGGTTATTGCATATTTTTAACATTCTGATCCTTGAAGGACGATTTCTGGTGGTTACACTACCTTGCCGCAAGAATTTATTTGATATGAATTAAGATGGACCTGCAATTAAATTACTAAGTAACGGTTAATTTGTTTGTTACGTGGATTTTTGTGTGCCCATGTTTTCAATTTTTTAATTTAAGCTTCAGAAGTGGATGTGCGTTAAGTCAAACTTTCACTTCTTAAAACGGTACTATGTGAACGTCAAGAACATCCTAGTAACAAGAGGAAATTTAAATTTTATCATGTGGTAGGATAAGGCTTTGAATTAAATTGGGGAGTTGCGGAAAGATTATACTTTTGTGTGAAAAAAAAAAAAAGACATTTTGAAGGAGAAAATGACCAATTTTTGTCCCCACAAGACCTCAATCGAAAAACAGACAAATCAGTCATGAGTCCAAAGGAAATTTATTTTGAAGCTAACCTCATAGAGTCTAACTCAGATGCAAAGTTTCCAAGATATCCGTGAGATGGCCCAAAATTTTGTGAGGATGTTGGAGAAAGAGCCTCTTAAAATAATTGTGTTTTCTGGTAAAATTTGACGTTGTTAACTCTTTTAACGTTAAATCTTAACTCTTAGGTATTAGCGAGGGAATATATCTCATTGAAAACTTCAAAACAAAGCGCCTCTTGTTCCAGGACGGCCCTAGAATAAAAGGGTATCGTGGAGCAGAAAAGGGGTGGAAGGCTAATACAGGCTTCAAAGCACCAGCTGTTGTCGGCGCTGATGCAAATTACTACAATCGAGCTTACTGGAAGATCATTCCTCAAGGTGGTGGCAAATACCTGATTGAAAACGTCGAGACGAAAAGGTACTTGTTTCAAGATGGTCCTGCCATAAAAGGGCCTCGTGGAGCAGAAGCTGGGTGGGCGGCTAATACAGGCTTCAAAGCACCTGCTGTTGTCGGAGCTGATGCCAACTACTACAATCGAGCCTTCTGGGTGATTACTCCACTAGGTAGTGGCAGGTACTTCATTGAAAACGTCCATACGAAGAGGTTCGTGTTTCAAACTGGTCAACCGATTAAAGGGAAGCGTGGAGCAGAAGGGGGATGGAAGAATGCTTATGGCCTTACTTCACCTGCTGTTGTCGGTGCTGATGCCAACTACCACAACCGAGCCTATTGGATACTACACAAAGTGCATTAGACTGATAAAAAAATGTGCCAAGAACGTTAGGGGTATCAGCTAAATGGAACTATCGGTAGCTTTTCCTGGGTTGTAGTGCAAGTTTGTCAAGCTTTTGACTGTACTATGAAAAATAAAGGCACAAATTAAAAGAGATGATCTAGTTTGCATGGATCTATAATCGAAGACAGCTGATGAAGAAGGAAGTCAAGGGATAAGAAATTAATTTTTTCTTCCCATTCCCTTGTTAACTTATATTAAAACCAGTTTTCATAGGCGACTTTTCGTGCAGGTCTTGCATGATGAAATGAGGGTTTTAAAGTTAGTGGCATTTTCAGGCTTTGGAGTGAGTCCATTCAATTCCATCGCTTTTGAAACAATCAGAAGCAACCACAACTATCGAAGGGCATTTTCAGTATCAAAAATTTCGTATCTCACTGAGTAAAATTTAGCTTTGTGTGCATCGACTATCATGCACCAATAGCTTGAAGTTACCCATCGATCTTTTCGGTTTAGAATAAAAACAAAAAGGAAACCTGAATCACAAGCAAAAAATCCATTAATTAGAAAGGTAATTTCTCACTCTGTTAATAATCATTAAAACCGGACGAGCTGTTCCGTTTCCGCTTAATAGGACAACTCTAATCCTGCTTGAACATGAGACATCAGCACTGGGCTCCAGAGAATAAGCTATAGAGTTTGAGGGGTTTATACCACAAAGCCTTGTAGTAATGGCTATTGTTTAAGTTGCTTTTCAAAGTATCGAAATTGGGTTATTTGTATATTTCGACACCTCAGAGACTTTGCAGAAAGTAAATGAATCGGCGTAAATTAATCACTGTCTAGAGGCTAATAGTACAGAGTACAGTTTGCTTGTAGTTAGCATCTATTTCAACGTTAGATTCACTATGTATGCTTCTGCTTCCAGGATGGTTGTAAAAGGAACACGCCGACATTTTAGCTGGTCAGGTATCTGACATCTTGAACTACTCGTACCATGAAGGACGCTTGCCATCGTCATGGAAGCACGCATATGTATTTCCCGTGCCAAAGCAAAAGCCCGTGCGTGAAGTAAATAAGCACTTACGCCCTATTTCACTAACCCCCATTTTTTCAAAGATGTCTGAAGCTTATGTGGTTGGCACTTTCGTCAAACTTGCTGTGCTGGAGAGGATTGATCCTCAACAATTTGGAGCCGTACCTAAATCTTCTACTACGCATGCGCTTATCAGTATGTAACACTCCTGGTTGGAATCGACTGATCGAAATGGTGCTCTTACGAGAGCCGTACTGTTTGACTTTCGCAAAGCCTTTGACTTAATTGATCATCATATCCTAGCCCAAAAGCTCTCTTCGTATGACTTTCCGGAATCGATCATGTGCTGGATCTTGGATTTCCTTACGAATAGAAGGCAAAAGGTGAAATTGAGTTGTGGTTGTGAGTTATCGGAATGGCGTGCTGTACCAGCAGGAGTTCCTCGGGGGATTAAACTCGGCCCCTGGTTATTTCTAATAATGATTAATGACCTGAGTGTGGCGAATACAAACATCTGGAAGTATGTAGATGATACTACCCTACTACACTGAGGTTGTTCCATCCGCTAAATTACTAGGTGTTATTATATCTAATGATTTAAAGTGGAATGTACACGTAGAAATGATATGTAAGAAAGTCGCAGCGCGTCTCTACTTTCTTAGGCAATTAAAGCGCGCGAAAGTGTCAGCTAATGACCCTCTAAGTTTCTACATCACTTGCATACGCCCAGCTGCAGAGTATGCATGTCCAGTCTTTCATACCGCTCTACCGCAATATCTCTCCGATCAGTTAGAACGCCTGCAGAAGCGAGCACTACGCATAATAAGCACTAATGATTTATCTTATAGACAGGCTTTAGAAGTTTTAACATACCTACCTTGTATGACACGAGAGAGGCGATTGGTAACTCAACGTTTCTAGAGATAAGTAATAATAATAATCACAAGCTTTATTCACTACTTCCGCCACCTTACCTTAGTACGTTGCGAACACGGAAAAATCGCCACGCGTTTGAAAACCAATCGTTTTAGGGACAGTTTTATTGTAAGCCATTGCCGATAGCACGTCCTTGTACAACACATATATATTTTTTCATCTGATTTCGAATAATTTTTAGTTGTATCTTAATTAATTTAGTGTTTACATGATGATAAGCCTTATTATTGTCAAAGTCTTATCAATTAACTTTCTAATTTATCATTAAATAATTTATAGTTGTAATTAATTTACGTTTTACATTTGTAAAAATTATCGTAATTCAGCCCTTGGGCTGCAAGGGTAATTTTAATAAACTATCTATCTATCTATCTATCTATCTATCTATCTATCTATCTATCTATCTATCTATCTATCTATCTATCTACCTATCTATCTATATGGTTCAAAAGTTTACGATTGGGAAGTTAGTGCCTCGGTGTTGTAACCGTAATGGAAAAGTAATGACGGCCGAACGAAAGGGAGGTGATCAGTCACGGCCCAGTAAGATTCTTTTAGTTTATTCTGATTTGAAGGTTAACTCAAAAAGCTCTCATTTTCTGAAAGCGTTCGGATTAATCACACCCTTGTTTTGTTTACATGCCAAAAATGTGGCCATTATATTTTGCGTAGAACGTGTAGAAACGAAAGGGATCACTGTGAAACTGCTCACTGCAATTAAGCAGACTTAAGAAACACTTCCAAAAGCATCTCAATAAGATTTGGCTTTGCCACACCATTTCAATAATTTCTATGGCATTGAAAATGGCGGAGGTTGACTAAGGTCCTTTAAAGTACTCAAATGATACTCATTCTCGAGAGTGACAGCTGCAATTTTAACCCGTTGACGAAAAAGAAAGCGCTCATAACCGTACTTTAGGTTGCATTTAAGATGTTTACGCCCATTACGCTTTAGGGAAATACTTGGGATTTTACGGTACTAAGACTATTTTAGTTTTTGTTCTGTTTGTTTGTTTTTTTCTTTGACGGAGGGGAAGCCGATCAGCGACCGGGACAATTTCGAAAAAACTTCCAGTTTCATTGCCATCAGGACTATGTTGAAGTGGGAATGGTTTCTGCCCAACTGATATATTCTAACAACAGACAATTACGTATGTCAGGTACATACTAAATTATTTCATACAAGTCCTGGGGTGCTTACCATTTAGACGGAAAAAACGGAAATTTCGGTAGTAAAAATCAAAATGTTCGCGCATTGTGTTTGGAACGTTTTGTAAATTATGGGCCACTGGTTGGTTGGTTACATGGTTGTCTCATAGTGCACCCTCAGGCCTAAGCCAGTGTTCCGATGAGAACTGAACGACAAAATCAGCGTTTAGTTTATAACTTTCCGTCACTGAAAAAGATTTATCATCAGCATATCTATCCTTTCTCTTGTGGCATTAAAGTGCCTCATCAACTCCGGTAACATTGCATCACATTTCGCCTGGAATTCTTCATTGAGTAGTCTGTGCTTATGAATAGGCTGGAAAATAGGGTCAGCAAATCAAAACCACAGAAAATCACCCATGTGTGACATGGGTGACAACCCATAGAGTGGCACTTGAGGTTTCGCCATGAGAATATTTTAAGAAGGTGTCGTGAAAACAAATATGACGTCATTAAGTACTTATTCCGCAACGATTAGAATGGCGAGGTTATACTAGATGCAGGGACCTCACCAGTCCCTCTCCACCATAGAGCACGAGTGTACTTAAGATTGAGAATAGACAAGAATGCCCTAATGTTTCTTCTGTTCTCTAACAAAGCACACTGTCTTAACCAATCACAGGGAGCGTTATATTAAACCTCGTGTATCATACTATAAGCTACCTAAACATAATGCCATATAAACCCGGTTTGCAGAAAACGTGATCAAATTTAAGGATTGGACTTAATTTCTTAGTCAAATTTAGCCCCTGGCGTGATGTTGTTGTAAAGTACATGGAATGGCTTTATTTGAATACAGAGGCGCGTACTTGCAGTTCGCGCAATTTCTTTCGCTCTAGTACCTCGACTGAGTATGCTGATCATAAATCTTTTCCAGCAACGGAAAGTTATAAACTAAACGCTGATTTTTTCGTTCAATTCTCGATGCGTTCAATGCGCGAACATTTTGATTTTCCTACCGAAATTTCCGTTTTTCCGTCTAAATGGTAAGCACTCCAGGACTCGCATGGAATAATTTATTATGTACCTGGCATAGGTAATTGTCTGTTGTTAGAATACATCAGTTGGGCATAAACCATTCCCCCTTCACATAGTCCTGATGGCAATGAAACTGGCTCTGTTTGGCCACCTTATGATGTTTTATATGGACTCTATGCATCGCCTATCTATTACAATTAGTTATAATTTATGAGTCATGCAAGAAGTAAGGGTAACGGTTAAAAGCGTACCGCTATAACCAAGACACAAGTTTCATTCCTTGGAATACTAAAATGAATAAACCGAATAATTCGTTTGGTTTTTGGCAAGGATTTAACTGCCACAGCAAGTGGAACGACAAAACTGGTGCTCTTATTGGGATTATTGGCTTTCCAGCAAATGACCCATTCGAAGTCCAGAGTAAGGTTTGGTACGAGGGGAGATTGGTTTGGCATTGTCGATACGAATTCATGTGGAAAAGAGTTACAAACCACGGAGCACATAAGGGCATTTTGCTACATTTTTGTCCAGTAAAGTCTAAATACGTTGATGTAAATCATTGAAAAGGCTTTTACTGGCTAAGTATTTAAATAACTCCTAAAAACGGCTGATTACTGGGAAAACAAAGCATTACAGGGCATTACCATGAGAAATAAAGCCGGCCCATTTTAACAATAGCCATGGCCGAGAACAAATGGTACTTCATAGGTAGGTGGCTGTGTCGGTAGGCGGAATGATCACAATAAGGACTAACGTCGTCTTTTTGTCAGAATCTGCAAATTTTAAAGGATGTAATCCAATATTTATTTACAGAAAATGTAGCTTGTGCTTCATGCCTTTTTAATTAATAGTTTCCTAGAACAGATTGCGTTGCTCTTTTTGCGCTGATATCAACAAAATAATATTGAGAAATAGCACCCGCGCAGAGTCTGTTGTGTATTTGTTGTCGAAGATACCGAGCCGGCAACCCCGATACTTGATGATGAGGGTGGCTAAGGAGGTTCTTGATCCCTTGTTACCTTCAAAAATTTTCCAGTGTTCTCTTGTTCCCGAAGCTTTTTCGAAATTGTCCCGATTGCGTTCAGCCGTCATTACTTTTCCATTACGGTTACAACACCGAGGTACTAGCTGCCGAATCGTAAACTTTTGGACCAAGTGATGGAAGCAGAAGCATACAAAGTGAACCTAACGTTAAAACAGATGCTAACCACAGGCAGACCGTACTCTGTGCTATTAGCCTCTAGTGTATAGCGGTGATTAATTTGATTTCAGCTATGTCTCTGAGGTGTCGAATATGCAACTAACAGCCCAATTTCGATATTTTAAAAAGCAACTTAAGCAATTAAGGCATTACTACAAGACTTTGTGGTATAAACCCCTTTGTGGTAAAAACCCCACAAACTCTATAGCTCCAGAGCCCAGTGTTGATGGCTAATGTTCAAGGAGGATTAGAGTTCTCCTATAAAGCCGAAACGGAACAGCTCGTTCCGATTTTAATGATAATTAACAGAGTTTTTCTAATTAATTGATTTTTTGCATGGGAATCCGGTTTGCTTCCAACAGTTATGTGACAAGACACATTCTTAGATGAAATACGAGAGTTAAGACGGCTCTGCTTGATTAGGGGTATCAAATGGTCCATTGTAATCTCCAAGTGCTCGCAAAATTAAGGTCTTGCTCGATTTGCTCGCAAAATTTAGAAGGGTGCTCACTTGCTCATGCTCACAAAATTTTTGTAACTGCTCGCACGCTCGGATTCTGGATCACTCACAATTTAGTGAATCATACTCTACATTTTTTGGAGAGAAATACATATAAGTGTATCCTTTCAATGGGCTGAATTGGAGGTACCAAGGAGATCTTACTCCGTTTATACTACAAAAACAAATAATGAAATCAACTTGAGAAAGTGAAAACGGACAGCTGTCAGCGGAAAACTTTTGCAAAGTACTGCTGCTTTCCAGTTGTACGCCCTAAAGTGCTCGCTTATCGCAAGGAGAATTTCATCGCTAATCGGCTGAGGGGAAATTTTTGCTGTTTTCAGGAAAGAAAGACTTTATAATTGAAGATTTAACACTGTATATTCGACCAGTGGAGGGCATAACTTATTCTCTATTAAGAGAAAAAATAAAGTCTTATTCTGAATTAGCGAAATAATTTCCTTTCCGATTTACTTTAATTGTTCAATTTCAGTTTCCTAGTTTTCATCTTTTCCGTTTAAGTAACGTCCATTCACGCCGCACTTCACCTTTATTGTTTATGGATCAAAGAGATGGTAAGGGTTTGTACCCGTGAAGTGGTTTATGTAAAAATTAAAGATTTTAGGTATAAATCTGTTGAAATATTCGGTGAGATCGAGGAACAATCGTCATTGTACAAATTATAGTCCTATCTGGAATGTTTTCGTTTTTTCGTTATTCTAAACCGAAAAAAATTGAAGGGTAACTTTAAGCTATCGGTGCATAATAGTCGATGCACACAAAGCTCAATTTTACTCAGTGAGATATGAAATTTTTGCTACTAACCACATATTATAATTTTCAAAGGCAAATGCCCTTCGATAGTTGTGGTTGCTTCTGATTGTTTGAAAAACCATGGAACTTAATGGGCTCACTCCAAAGCCTGAAAAGGCCACTAACCATAAAACCTTCATTTCATCATGCAAGACCTGCACGGAAATTCGCCTATGAAAACTGGTCGTAATATAAGTTAACAAGGGGATGGGAAGAAAAAATTAATTTCTTATCCCTTGATTTCCTTCTTCATCAGCTGTCTTCGACTATAGATCCATGCAAACTAGATCATCTCTTTTAATTTGTGCTTTTATTTTTCACACTACAATCAAAAGCTTGAAGTTTAAACATTTGACAAACTTGCACTACAACCCAGGAAAAGCTACTAACAGTTCCATTATAACTGCTACCCTTAACGTTGTTGGCACGTTTTTTTTTTTTATCAGTCTAACGCACTTTGTGTAGCATCCAGTAAGCTCGGTTGTAGTAGTTGGCATCAGCACCGACAACAACAGGTGAAGTAAGGCCATTAGCATTCTTCCATCCACCTTCTGCTCCACGATTCCCTTTAATCGGTTGACCAGGTTGAAACAGGAGCCTCTTCGTGAAGATGTTTTCAATGAAGTACCTGCCATTACTTACTGGAGTAATCATCCAGTAGGCTCGATTGTAGTAGTTGGCATCAGCTCCGACAACATCAGGTGCTTTGAAGCCTGAACTAGCCCCCCACCCATGCTCTGCTCCACGAGGCCCTTCTATGGCAGGGCCACCTTGAAACAAGTACCTTTTCGTCTCGGAGTTTTCGATGAAGTATTTGCCACCACCTAGAGGAATGATCTTCCAGTAAGCTCGATTGTAGTAGTTGGCATCAGCTCCGACAACAGCAGGTGCTTTGAAGCCTGAACTAGCCGCCCACCCCTTTTCTGCTCCACGAGGCCCTTTTATGGGAGGGCCGTCCTGGAACAAGAGGCGCTTTGTTTCGACGTTTTCAATGAGATATATTCCCTCGCTAATACCTAAGAGTTAAGATTTCAACAACGTCAAATATTACCAACAAACACATGTATTTGAAGACGCTCTCTCTCTAAGATCCTCATAAAAAATTTTTCGTTCATCTCACGGATATCCTGGAAACTTGGCATCTGAATTACACTCTATGAGGTTAGCTTCAAAATACATTTCCTTTGGATTCATGACGATTTGTCTGTTTTTTGATTGAGGTCCCGTGGGACACAAATTGGTCATTTTGTCCTTCAATGTTCTTGACGTTCACATAGTACCGTTTTAAGAAGTGAAATTTTGACTTCAAGCACATCCACTTCTACAACTTAATCAAAACTCGAAAACATGGGCACACAAAAAATCCACGTAATTGAACACCCTTATTTCATGCTTGGGGCTTCGTCAAGGGCCACTAACATTACTTGGGATACACAGAGAACTATAGAGGTCTCGCATTTATTGTTATCTAAACTAAGTTTTGAATAAGGCACGCTCTCGCGCCAGTTGCGCTCCTGTCGGTGGCGAAATTTGAGAGGGAAGGAAGCTCACTTAGGAGCCTCTTCACTTGAGATTGGGAAACGGGAAGGGCTTTGCTTTCTGCACATAATGGAAATCTAAGCACGGTGAAAGGAAATGGGAATGCCTTGCAATTGGTTACAGTAAGAACGTTCGCACCTAGAAACAGAGCTAATCAGGCTTCGCTGCAAAATGAGTGTATTCAAATGAAATTTAGTAACGACTTGTTATTCCGTTCTTTTTAAAACAGACCACGAGCTCCGAAAGCTTTGCGTATCACTTTAAAAGCCCAAATTATTAAAGCGCTTATCGAAGCTAGGCACAAACTAGCGCATGCAGAATTATTATTGATGGGGAGTCAGTCCACCGAGAACAATTCACAATGACATTGGACAACACGATATTTTGTATTACCTTGAAAAAGTAAAGAAAAAAAAACCTTTGCAATCATCGACAGATTATGATGGACTTACCTTCTTCAGAAGAACCTCTTTTAGCAATTTCAAGCTTATCAGCTGTATCTGAAAAGTAAAAATTTTCAAACAAAGTTTTATTGAAAAAAATCGTATATATTTATACCAATTTGACCGCCCGGATAATCAGTCGATACCTCGGGATCGAAAACAGGTGTTTCTAAAAAACAAGAGAGATTGGGATCACGCTGATTTTCTTGTGGAAAATGAGTATGTTTAAAATAAAATTTCAACACTCTATATTATATTGAGCTTTGCCAGAAATGCTAAGGAATAAGACAAGCAAAAATATACTAAAAGGGAAAAAAATAAATCGTTTTACTATGTTGAAAGAGCTGCATGCGCCAAAGATTGCTGGCCCCTCCTTTAACTAAAGGGAGAGGTGCAAAAAAGGGAAGAGGAAACTGATTTAAAAATAATAGAAGTCTGATTAGTTAAACTGTTGTTGGATGTTTCACACCGTGAACTGAGAACTGAGGTAGATTCTAATAAAACTGTTAAAAACTGAAACACTTACCAATCTTCTCGTCCTCGTTCAGCGCGACTTCGGTGTTCTGATCGGTCTCGAGTGGAAGTGACTTGGCCAGAGCCAAAGTTATCAAAAACAAGACAAGACCCTTCATTTTCTTTTGAAAAAGAAACAAACAAACAAACAACGAATTCAGAAGTTAATATGAATGAAATGAGCATGCAATAAGTTTTGAAGGAATTGTTCTAATATTCATATGAATCTATGGAGCAATTCTGGGTTGGGCGGTTTTGGGTTCGAGTCCTCGTTCACTTTGTTGAGTTTCCAAGCGAGACAATTTTCTCGCAGTGCTCGCTCTTACTTTCTGCAAATTATCGATGATTTTGAACATGCCAGGAGTTGCGAGAGAACTGGATTAGCTAGACTCTATAAACTCTATCTCTTCGGCGCCAAATTGGTAAGAATCCGGCTTTGAAAAGATCCCTCTCCCAATATTCAGATTTGTGAGTTAGAATGCTCATGGACAGCATAAGAGGATTGAAAAGGAAATAAACCTTCTCAAACGAAAAAAGATTCTTCGATGCGTCTCCGATAATAGCGTCTTGCATCAAACACGAAAAGAAGAAAACTTGCAAGCGTTACTTACTCCGTTGGACATCGTTGTTCAGTTTCCTCCGTTACTGACTTTGTAGTGACTCTTCGTTATAGGTTAGCTCTCCGCGAAGAACTGAACGAATGCAATGGTTTATCTCCCTTTACGCGGTCAAGATTGTTGAATAATCGAATGTAAAAATTGACATCTGTACATAACAAAAAATTGATTAAACCTTAATTTGCAGATGGTCAAACACGTAAGAGGCATCAGTCGCATCTTGGAAACAGGAAATGGTTGTCTGCTTAAGTGCTGGAAAACAATACAATTTTTACTCTTGAGGTTTGACAGTTGTCATAGCTAAAAAAGTTAACCCTGGGGAATTCGGAAATTTTTCATTAAATACGAGTATTGTAAATTATACAATGAAAGCAGTCTAATTCAAATGAAATGAACGCTTCGATAAACATGCACTGCA